GTCGCCTTCCATGATGGTTGTCCCCCTTTAGCACGTAAGCGGCGCCTCCCATGGACCGGTCTGAGCCAGGAGAGTGCCCCGGCCATTGGACTTGAGGTCAWGATCCAGTRCYAYTGAYGTTGGTGRAGCCATCCCATCGGGCAACTCCTAGCCTCTAAGCGCAGAAAGGCTTGTCCTGGCCTGCCTTAGTCAGGACGCCGCACGTGTTTCTTCCGCTGTAGAACTACCCCCGTGACACTTCGCCATTTGACATCTCGCCTAGCACCCAGAAACGGTGAGAACACCATCTCGGTTATCCTTTGACCGTAGATATATTGGCTTCCCACATTGCAGAAGACCAGTAATGGGCCTAATGGGAAGGTAAGGAGGAAAGTTTTCAATAAAGCATTGACTTCCCACGTTGTCTCTAGATATATTGGGTTTTGTGTCAGTAGCAAAGTTTTCAATAAAGCATTAAATCCTTTCTGTTTTTTCTGCAACATTTGGAAGGCAACGAACGTGAAGATGATGTTGATGGGTTTCATAAAGGCCTATTTGTATTCTGATTTCTTCTGCTTTCCTTTCATTTAGAAGAGGTCGAGAGAAATGGATTTGGGTTTCATAGAGCAGAGAGGAGAGGAGAGGATGTTGGAGGGCAAAGCTTTGATAGAAAGACAGGCATGCAGATGCAGATACAGGCCATGAGTTCCGCTTCCCCTCTATGAAGTTTTTAACTGCAAATCCATTGCGGTCCACATAAAAAAGGATTTCGACACGAATTATGGATCTGGGTTGTTTCTTCACTCCTGCTCTCTCTGCAAACTAACTCCCCTGTTGCGAAGTAGATATTATCAGCCACTGCAACTCCTCTACCAGTTTCCACATTCTTCTTTGTCTTTCCTTTTACAATGCACACCCACCCTTTATGGAGGAAAATAGAGGATGTATTTCCAACTGCTTTTTCGACGGTGATCTTGGCGGGAATGGTGTCCGGATGGAATCCGGATTTCCTGCACTTGTTTGGTGTGTGCCGTGGTGCATTCCTAATAAGATTGTAACACGTCAAGTTTCAACTAAACTGATGGTTTGCTTCTTTAAAAGTAAAAAACAGAAAAAGAAATCCTTTCTTTTCTAATGCCTTCTCTTTATCCCTTTCTTTCTTTCTTTCTTTCTTTCTTTCTTTCCTCCTCCTCCTCCTCCTCCTCCTCCTCCTCCTCCTCCTTCTTCTTCTTCTTCTACTACTACTACTACTCGCTTAGTCTCTTTCTCCATCCTCTTTTGTTCCTCCCTCCATCGTCATCTCTGAACCAACAAACCTTAACAGCCATAGCAACAAAACTACCGAAAGTCCGAAACAGATCAGTTAATTAGCAAATTGAACTGTACACAGTCAAAATAACAATACAGGTGAAACACCTTGATTAACAACTCGATTGTTGAAAAAAATATCAAGCAATCTAAAATCCCTCCAATTACCAAATTCAAGCAAATATTTTCCACATAGAAATAACCCAAAAGATGATTTATGAATTAATAAGATAGAAATAAAATCTTTAAACCTATTTTGAAGAGAACGGTCAACAGACCCAACAACAGATCAAAAAGTTTAAAACATTTATTAAAAACAATAGAAGACATTACAGAGTACGATCACCAATAACAAAATAGAAGGTAAACCACAAAAGAACCTCAAATATGAAAAAATGGTTAGAAAAGCAAAAGGAAACCAAGAGTTGAGAAACGAAATGGTGCATCAAGCAATGAAACTTTTCTAAAGAAATTAATAAGTTATTCATGAATCGTTTTGAAAAATAATGGATGGGAATCCGTCCTCTCATATTCGAGGCTATTTATAATCTCTGATCCCTGCCTAATAGATGCGAAAGGAGCGATGAGACTTCCCAACGCTACTTAACAGTTTAACATAAAATTCCTGCTCCTTGTCAATGCTTGAAGATGAAATGGCGGTCTGCAATCGTTAATGGCGGTCTGCAATCGTTAATGGTGTTTGCCGCCGTTGTGCCGAGTGTTGGAAGAGATGATGAACAGTGATTTTTTATTCTCTCCAAAATGAATTCGGAATGAAAGAGGGGTAATATTGGGTTTTAAAAGAATTTTAAACAATACATGATCTCATGTGTATACAAGTTTTGACGGAATTATATACAGATTTTGAAGGAATTCGGATGTTAATGATGAGGGTAGAGTAAATCAATTGTTAGAAACAATAAGGATGTCAGTCAATTTTCAAATAATAAGAGTATACTTGGTCAATTATCGAATTCATTCACATCTTCTGTAACCATAGCCGCAGCGATTCATTGACATGATCATGTTTGCTTTATATTGAAACACCTAGCGATCTGTTTTTTCTTAATCATTTGCATGTCTGTTTTAAATTTTAGCAATTCTTGGTATTCTGAGCAATGGCGTCGCTGCAAGTGTTTAGTGGTGTTATTTTCTTTTGCTCTGAAAAAGAACGGAAACCAATTGTGGAAGTGTTGTCGCTCAAATGAGGGCAATTTGGGATTTTAAAAAATTTTAAATGAGGTCGTGCAGATTAGTCAAGGGTAATTTCATAAGTTTATTAAAATGAAACTAAATGGGAGGTTTTTATGATAACCAGAAAATTCAGGGGAGTTTTTTGTATTTTACCCTTATTATTATTATTTACTAAACTAGTGAATGATCCTGTACTAAGTATGGGGAAGTTAATTTTTAAGACATTCATACAGTCTACAAGTCCACATAAATTGACCCTTATATGTCAAATCTGTAAAATTATATGGGTCATTAAATGCAACTTGAACCGTTTATTACTTTAATTTAACCGTTATTATAATTAATTTATTTTATTATTTAATTTAAATTTTTTGTTATATAGTAATAATATTAACTAAATTTGCAATCACTTAAATATTTACTTAAAATATTTTTCCAACCAACTATAATTATTATATAATAGATTTGTTAATTCATATTTTGCATTTAAGAATAAACACTAATGATTTGGCTTAACAATTTTAATGGTTGTTAATAGATATTGATTCTTATTTAAGGTTTAATTATTGTATTCAGTAATTATTATGGGGCATGCTTTGAATAAACATTAATGATAACTGATGATTGTTATTTCATTTTTTTATTATTTACTTAATTAAGTACTTGATGATGATGATTATTATTATTATTGTTATTATTATTATTATTATTATTTATTCCTATAAATAGTTGCTTGTTATTAATATTTACATAATTCAGTAATTTTCAGCAAGTATTTATTTGATTTAGTTTGAATTATTTTATTTACTAATTATTTATAATAGACATTTAGGCTATGTTTGATTTGAAGGAAAAGATAGGGAAAGGAAGGGAAATACGGGGAAGGGGGTAAGAAAACATGCAATAGTTAATGGTTGATTGGTGAGGCACACATATGATAAAAAACATATGATAAAAAAAATAAAGGGACATTTCAATTTTTAATACTACAGACTGTATGATATGATGTGACTAACAATCCTTTTTCTTTTTCTTTACTTTTGGTATTAAGAAGAATTTACATTTAAAACATGCAATAGTTTTTTTTTTAACGCCGAAGGGGGTAAGAAAACATGCAATAATTGATTGGTGAGGCACACATTATTAGAAAGTACAAAACTATGTGCCCCAAGTCAGGTGTACTAGCTTTGCGAGGTGGGCCCCACCTCGACCAGTGAAACTGTCGCTTCAGCCAAACGAGAAGCTTTTTGGTGAATTGAAGAAGCTTCGTTTAGTAGCTTCCTTCACAGCAAAGCAGCTCAGTGGGAGGCTGAAAGCAACTCGATCGATATAAGCAATGTCGGGTCTTGGGTGTCGTTTGTTAACTGAGGAGGCGTGGAAGCCACAAACCCTCCTTCCACAACTGTTCAGTAATTAATTATATTCTTGATTCACCCAGGGTAGCTCAACTAAGTATATTTTTGGGTTTTGGCTTAGTCAAAGTGAAGACTGTCTATCATGGAAATTCTTTTTTTTTTTTTTTTTATGAAGTTTCTATCATGGAGATTCCAATCCAAGGGAGAGAACCTTGATATTATGTACAGAAAACAATTCGACCTACAAATTAATTTCATGAACACAGAAAAAAATCTTTTCGATTCACACTCTCCATGAATAGATTTCATAACCATTTTTAATCAGCAATTAGTTTATTACATCAAACAGTCCCAAGCGACAACCTCTTAATCCAAAGAATTATTGTCTTGGAGATTACCTTAATCCCCAACCATTTACTGTCCATTCTGGTCTACAGATTTCTGAGGTCATCTTCGCCGACAAAGAGACCATGGAAACCGTAAGGCACTCGGCGGGGCAGCTTCACAGTGGCCACAACCTCAAGCGTCGGCGACCGGGCATCCATTACCAAGAACCTCGACTCCCCAGTATTTTCATCGTGGACATACGACACCAAGTACCCATCGTCCTCGTCGGCCGGCTCCGTGCTTCTGGGGTTCCTTCCCACAAAGAAGGGCTCTCCTCCGTAACACCCCGGCTCATAGGTCCGACACGAAACGACGCAGTCTCGGCGCCCCTCTAGATCTCTCGTAGCGTCCAGATCCAGCTTCACCACCCCTGATATCTTGGGCATGGGATCCCCAACTGCCATATAGGCGTACCGGCTTTTCTTCCCCACGAAAGCTGGATTCAGCACTCCAAAGTCTAAATTCCTTGCCGAGAGAATGTACCTCGACACCGCGCCTGTCCTAAGGTCCATCTTCATCTTCTCTACTGTCATATGCATCAAATCTATCCTGTCTAAGATTTTCTCTTCCGACGATATACTGGGCGCTATTAAGACTATCGTGTCCTCATCCTCCTCGTCGTCCCATGCGTTAATGGTGTGAATAATGTTGAATCCCGGCACATCGAACCATCTTATCTCGGTTTCGTCCTGGGCATAACGTGGGATCACTCCGATCCTCGGCACCTTCTTAGGGTCCAACCTCACCGGGCACCCTCCTCTCACAATCATCTCAATTGGGTTCAACTCCATGCCTGTGAAGATGACGTATTTCTTGGTGATGGCGAAGTCATGAAGGAAAGACGGTTGCGCCATGGAGAAGATGGGCACATCCGGATGCTTCGACCCGTTTGCGTCGAAGCGGAAGTAAGTCACGAAGGGCCGTCGCATTGGATTGTAGCGGAAAGCAAAGGCCTCTCCCGTGTCTGCATCTATCTTGGGGTGGGCCGTCATGCTCATGGAGAGCTGTTTGTCTGAATCCCAGCGTCCAATAGTCTGGACGTCTCCATCTGGAGTTAATCTTATGGCATACGGAAGATCGGACTCCCCGAGGGCAAAGAGTTGGTTGCCAAAGAAAGCCAGACTCGTGTTGGCGAGGCCAATGCCATTGATGGGGTTGAATTGCCCCGTGAGGATTTTTCCCGCAGTGACTGCACCGCGCGTAACGGTGGCCATGAGGCCGTGGAAGCTTGCGAAGATGTTGGGAAGGATGGGAAAACCCGCCTCACGCTCGATGCTGTATTTATAAGTGTGGACGTAGCGGCTGCAGAAGGTGGCGCGGCCTTGGGATATGCGGAGAGAGTGAAGCATGCCATCGCCGTCGAAGAGGTGGTAAGGGCCGCGCGGCTGGTACTGTGGGTTGGGTCCGTTGCGGATGTAGACACCGTCCAGGCACGGTGGGAGCGTCCCCTCTATAATGGGGCAGTCAGTAGGGGGCAGCTCGTCGACAGGGGCGAAGTTGTCTGCAAGCACATGCTTTGGGTCGATGGAGGGGTGGCGAGGAGGGTCGATGAAGTTGTTGATGATGTCGTCCAATCCGTTGAAGATGGTGGCCGGGATAGACAGTTCAAACCGTCTTCCGGTGGTTGTTCCTTCTGTTGATGAACTAGCAACAGAACCAAGTTGAGTTTCTGTTTTTGAAGGCTCTTGTCTAGTAATAAAGTTTGTTGCTTTCTCGGGCTTCTCTTCGATCCTAACAGAGGAAATAGTGAAGATAGGAGCGTTAGGAGACATAGTCGTTGCTCTGGGCTTGGTGACCCATTGAAGTAGCTCTGGGTGCTGGAACTTGGAGAAGAGAGAGGATGAGAAGGCATCCATCCACGGAGAGAGAGAGAGAGAGAGACTTTGTTGATAGAGATACAATTATACAAAGTTGTTCAGTTTTTTTTTCTTTGAGATAACAAAGATGTTCAGATTTCTGATTTATAAGTGAACAGAGATGGTGTTTGAGCCGTGAACTCAACTCTAAAGAGACGTAAAAAAAAGAACTCTAAAGAGACATGTCACATTTCTGAAATTGCCAAGTTTCTATTTTCATGGCTACATATCAATTAGTTATGTATCGTTTTACACTTTTACTATCATTGTATCTTCTTTTGTTTTTCATTTGCCACATAGATTGAATCAAACCGTAGATATGGCATCATCAATAAAGCACCAAACTGAGCCTCCGGATGATGTACCAGATTAATGGTTTCAAGGCAGCTTATGCCATACAGATCGGTCCAATCAGTTTGGGTAGTATTCTCTCCCATTGAGATCACAGTCCCAGTCCCCACAGTCAATAAAAGCACGTTCCAACAATCTTTATATCCTTACTTGTAAATATCTCTATACTTGTATGATTTATTTTGATGGGAGATAAAGGGCTGTTCGAACGGTGCGAGGACCACTTGCCCCTACAGAAGCTGAACTCACTTTGAATCTAGGAAGCCGTCAATTCTTGAGCCAAAATTGGCAAAACGTAGAAGGGACCGACGGGGTCCCTCCTGTTTCAGGGTATCTTTGAAGAGTGGACTACAATTAATCTTGATATTTTGTTTATTTCAAAATCCGCTTGATGTTGATGACTTCCTTCTTTGATTTGCTTCTCATCGGTCACCTACCGGAAAAAAAAAAAAAAAAAATCTGCTGGTTGATTTAAAATAAATAAAGTGGACAAAGGAATAAGTCAATATGTAACACAAAGATTTGAAATGTTGAAGGCAAAGATTAATTGCCAAACAACGGTTATATTACTTGCTAATAATGTATATATCAAAAATAAGAAACCAATTTAATTTGAAAAATAAAGAAAAGGGAAAATAAATTTACCCTAGGTTTGAGCTAAATAGTATATCATATATATATATATATGGTTTCTACCATTAGTCATAGTGTACTTTGCCAAGTGGCCCTACTTGACACAAATAGGAGAAAAACCATTGGCCGTTTATATTGATGATTGGGGTCACGAAAATTTGGATGAGAAGCTTTAAAGTATGTCTCAAATAGGAGAAAAGCCACTGTCTTTAGAACGTCATTTGCCCCCATTTAGTTTTAGTTTTATTGAAGAGTATCTGAAGAAACCCTATGTGAGATAGTAGCAAATAGAACTGAGAGAGATAGGAATGATTTTTTAAAATTTATGTTCATTTGCTTGATTCATACTCCTTATATAATTTTTGAAGAGTTATGGAAAAGAGGAAGGTGCTAGTTCAGAAAAGGCTTTTTGAACAGTCACAATTTCAGACCTTGTGACTGTTCAAACGTAATTTATAGTTAATGGTTGTTAACTTTGAATATTGTCTCTTGATCACACCTGATCAAATCATGACCGTTGAAACATAAACGGTCAATCTCGCACCAAATGTCAAATCTGCCTTATGTGAACCACATGAAGTGTGAGCAAAATGCACCTTTGAAGCATCTCATTGAGCCACACATACGCGTAAGTGTGTATTGCACGGTAGCAAGTCTCTATACTCTCCTCTTATAGTTTTAAGGAGTGTAAACAAGCTATCATGATGCAATTGCTTGCTACTCAGCTTAGAAGCCCTCATTTTTCCCTAGTATCACTACTACCGGGGGTGAAAGTTCCACTTCCATCGACATCAAACGCATCAGCATCAATGCTAACACTAATACTATCGTGATGTGATTGAATGTCATCCATGGTGAACATGTTGGGGAATCGGTTTTGAGAAAGGCCGGCCATTTTTTTAATTTTAAAAAGATAAAAAGTAATCTAATTCGACTTACCCAGATTGCCGGTTTAAAATCTCAACTTGATTTCAACGATTGACTCCTTTCAACGTCCAAGCCTTCCGAATTGAGATACTTGAGTTGGTTGGACAAGCCTTCTTCTTGTTGAAAGTCAAAACTTCGATAAAGTTGAGACTTGAGAATTAGAGAATGTAGAATCAGACAATCAGCTAATCAGAATTTTTCAAATTGTAGATAATTGAGAATGTATGAGCATGTGAGAGAGGGAGAGAGAGAATTAAGAGAATTGTTGAATTGGTGTGATGAGAATGGTGGAGGATAGGGCTATTTATAGGAATTGAACATAATTTAATTGCCTAAAATACCCAAAAAACTATCTGTTATTTAGTTATTGGGAGGGGTATTTTGGTCATTGTAAAGTTACTTATAACTTTACCCAAAATGCCCCCATAAACTAATTGTTATATAACTGTTGGGAGACATTTATGTCATTTTTTCAACCACCCATAAGCAAAATACAAAAATGCCCCTCTAATATGGCTATTTATAGTTGTTGGGGGGGTATTTCTATAACCCCCCCCTCAAAAGCTGAAACTAGTCGTTGGGCCCCTTGACCCCTTTGGGAGGGGGGCCCAACGGCTATATTCCCGGGCGGGCCAAGGCGGCCCGTTACGGGCCTAGCAGGCCGTGCTTCATGCCGTGCCACAGACGGCACGACATGGCCCATGGGCCTCGAACCCCTGGCCCAGCACGACACGGACCTCTGTGCCAAGCCTAGCACAGCCCGTTAGTCGTCGTGCCATGCCGAACCGGGCTGGTCCAAAATCATGCCGGGCCGGCCGATTTACACCTCTATGTACTACATGGGTTGTCCATCAACATTTACACCTCTATGTACTACATGGGTTGTTGATCTGTTGATCGAGCGTGACACGGACTGTTGGGTTTCGCAACCCACGCCGTTATCCTAACGGAATTTTCTTAAACGGGTGGAAGACGACCTGATTAGATCATCTTCTTCACTCGCACGGTAAAACGGTTCATGCAAAGACCCGGCTTTATTTTTTGACCATTTTTTCATTTTTTCCATATTTTTGACGTCTAGTGAGTTGGCTTGGTGTCATCTACAATAAGGAAATGACAAATTCGACTTAATTATACCTATTTATTGTTGTTTCTTTAACTTCTCAAAGGCCAGAACTGACTTAAAAATCCAAGGGAGAAGGCATAGTTGAAAATCCAAGCAAGAAGACAAACCTAGAAATGAAACCAACGCAAAAAACCCGAAACTTATATAAAAAATGGAAAAAAACTAACATTCTCAGAAATGGAAACCCGATGCAAAAAAAACAAAAAAAAAATACCAACTGGAGACTTTTTCCCCAACGTTCTCAAACTATTGATTCTCAAAAGCCAGAACCGACTTGAAAATCTAAGGAAGAAGGCGCAGTTGAAAATCCAAGGAAGAAGGAAAACCTGAAACTTAAAAAGAAGAACGTTCTCAGAAATGGAAAACCGATGCAGAAACACAAAGAAAAATACCAAACTGAAACTTATCTCCAACGTTCTCAGACTACCGATTTGTAAACCTCCAACGTTTCTTCTCTCCAAGTTTTCAGACTACTGAAGAAGTTGCAAAACGTCTCCTACAAGAACTTGAAAGAAAACCTTCCAGCGGGAGATGGATGGGAATAGCAACCGTCTCCTGCAAAAACTTTATTTCAAGCTCAAAAAAAAAAAAAAGAAAGAATATGGGGACACATGCGGTGGGAATAGAAAACGTTTCCCGTTAGATGTTATTACGTGGATTATAAAACGAAAAATAAAAAATAGAAAATTAGAATGAGGTTTGTTGTAAGGAAAAACATGTTGACATGACACATTAGTCACCACTGGTGAATCAAAGTAGCGATTAAGGCCACTGCCCAACACTCTGCCTTCAATACTAAAATCCCTTAAAAAAGAACAAAAGAAAAAAGGAGAAGAAACGAAAGAAAGTGGAGGATTAGAGTGAGTTAATCAAGAAGAAGATAGAGGAGTGAGGGAAAGGGAGAAGGGAAGAAGAAAATGGAAAAAAAATGGGAAAGAGTGGAAAGAAAAGGAAAGACTAAAATGGAAAGAAGAGAAGAACACAAGGGCAACCCCGAGATGGAGACTCTCTCAGAGAAGAGAGAGAGAGAGAGAGAACCTTTGATAGTTAGAGACGGAGAATTAATTTTAGATTATAAGTTGATTTGAAGGAAAATGCACCACTCAGATTTAGGCTCTAAATCAATTGATCCTCCCTCTGATATGAAAGGACAAAGATGGATTTAATTTTATTCCAAGTGTCAAGGACTTTAAAACCAAACCGATCTACGAACCGATCAGGAGTCTGATTCTTGGGTTGAAAGGTCCAATCGTTTGAACCGAATGGATGGCCCACTTTGACAAAAAATTAAAAAAATAGCCACAACTATTGGACGGTTTGAATGGTTCGACCACCAAGGTTAGCGGTTTGTTGACCAAAACAATGATTTTTTGGCAAAATAACAGTTCTGGGGTAAAACGGAACTGATCACCTGACCGGTTCTCAATTTTTCCGGTCCAGTCTAGTTTTGAAAACCATGCCAAGTGTTTATAGGAACAAACCTCCAAATTTTGCCCTCTCTCCAAACACCTCTCTTTCTTTATTGATGAATTCACTCACCAAGTCTCATTTATCTTCAATTTTTTTTTATGGAAACCGAAATGTGCTACACGAGGCTAGTGTAGCACGCTTTCATAAGTCTACAAAACAAATGAGAGAATTAAAAGATTCGCCACTTGATTTGCCTCCCAGAAGACATGATGGTAAGAAATCTGCAGGTTGAAAGCATCCACGAGCTCGTCACAAGCTACAACTAGAAATTATGCTCCTTAAATGCCAAGGGGGGTTGGGGGGGAAGTGGAATGTTGAAGACAATAAATGACCAACTTTGGGTCACCTTCGATGATGATGGGGGTGTCTCTGAAGTTAAGAGCAAGGTTATGTGCTTCCAATGCAGCCCAAGCCTCAACAACACTGATGGTGGTGCAACCCAATTTATAACCTTTAATGTCAAGAACATTTCCTTGGAAGTCTCTGGAAATACTTGCAATAGAACAACTTCCACCCACATAGGAAGCGTTAAAATTAATTTTAATGGATTCCATCTTGGTAGGTTTATAAACTTGCTTAGATTGGGTACTACTCCAAAAGTCATTTAAATGATCAAGAGCCCTCTTAATGACCAAAGAGGGAGGAGTAGAAATATTAGAGAAAGTTTTTTGGTTTTAGCATTTCCACAAAGCCCGAAGCATAAAGGCATTTTTTTTCCAAGATTAAGTTCTCATCTCTGCCTTGACTTTCAAATAGCCCAGCCCATCACTCCCAAATGTTGATATTTTGATCGATCGGCCCATTAAGAGAAGGGGGGCTAAATGCCAAACCTGATGAGCAAAAGAACACACCCTAAAAATATGATCAGTATCATCTTCTACACCACAAAAACAACAAGAGGTATTTATGGTAAATCCCCTTCTTTCCAGATTGAGTATCAAGGGGAGCCTATTCTTCTTTAGGAGATATTAAAAAATTCTTATTTTTGGAGGGCATATGATTTTCCAAATCAACCTAATTTTTAGGTTTTGGTTGTTATTAAACTCGGAGTTGTCAAACTTATCCAAGTAGGCCGACTTTGTAGAGAAGGTACCCTCTGGATTGAGCCTCCATATCAACTTATCCCTTACCCAATTAGAGGGAATGAAAATGGCTCTAATAAAAAACCAAACTTGATCAGGGACTAAATTATGGATTAAACTCTCCCTCCAATATCCCCTTTCCTTATCAATAACCTTATCAACTCTTAAGTTAGGGTTCACCCTGCTATTAGATTCTTCTAACTCGCATAATGGGGTTTCCATAGTCCAATCATCTCTCCAGAAATTGATATTCTCTTTGTTCCCTATAGACCACCATATCCCTTTTTATAGTAGATCTCTAGATGACAAGATTCCTCTCCAAGCCCAAGAAATACCCTTCTTGGCTTTCACATTCCAAAAACATATTTGCTTAAATACTTTTCTTTAATTATTTTTACCCAAAAATTATTTTCATTTGAAAGGATCTTCCATCCTAACTTTACTAGACTAACCTCATTGCTCCATTTGAAGTTTCTAATTCCCATATCACCCCATTTTTTAGGGGTACAAACTGTTTTCTAGTTAATGAGATGAATTGGCTTTTTACCTTCCGAGTTAGTCTACAGAAAATTTTTCTAGATCCTATTTATTTCAAAGATAACTCTATTTGTCATCTTAAAAGACCCCATAATGAATTGGGGCATAGCATTGAGGGTGGAGTTACTTAATGTGATCCTTTCAGCAAGTGAGAGGGATTTTTTTCCATCCAGCAAGTCTAGTCTGTATTCTCTCGTTAATATTCTTAAAAGTATCCATAATAACCTACCATTAATTATAGGGGCCCTTAAAATAGTGGGAAGGATTTCTATCAATGGGGATACTAAGAATTTTGGAGAGAATCCTTTGATGCCTATAAGGGGCATTCTTAGAGAAGCAGACCATAGATTATGCAAAATTTAGGGCTTGGCTAGAGGCTTTTGCAAAGCTAGCAAGGATCCCCTTGATTTTAACACATGCCGATATGGTGGTTTTTGAGAAAATGAGGCAATAGTGAGAAGAATTTCTATCAATGGGGATACTAAAAATTCTGGAGAGAATCCTTTGATGCCTATAAGGGGCATTCTTAGAGAAGCATACCATAGATTATGCAAAATTTAGGGCTTGGCCAGAGGCTTTTGCAAAGCTAGCAAGGATCCCCTTGATTTTGACACATGCCAATATGGTGGTTTTTGAAAAAATGAGGCAACCGTCTACAAATTGTAGAATTGGGATTGTTGGGCCATTTTTGGAAATTCTGCAGCCTATCGGATTACCTAGATCATTGGCCTCTCTAATTAATTTTCTCGTAAGAGTCTCATTACACAATACAAAAATATAGGGAGGAGAGGGTCCCTTGTCTGATTCCTCTAGAAGGCTTAAATTCTTCTATTGAGATTCCATTAATTAAAATCTGATAAGAGACAAAAGTGATACATTCCATAACCCAAGAAATCCATCTAGGATGGAACCTAAACTTCTTGAGGTTTTCCTCTATATACTTCCACTCCAATCTATTGTAAGATTTTTCCATATCAACTTTAGCCAAGATTCCATATTTGCCTTTCTTTTACCTCATGTGCAATGAGAATAATGTCATTGATCTGCCTATTAGGAACAAACGCACTTTACATGGGGGAGATGAGGCTATCTAAAAATTGTTTTACTTTGCTTGCCAAAATCTTTGCAATGATCTTATAAACTACATTACAAAGACTAATTGGACTGTAGTTATTCACTAATTTCGGATTTTTTCATTTGGGAGCAAGGGTGATGAATGTTTTGTTTAAGATGCCACTAGGGGTGTCCACGATTCGATTAACCGAACCATGGCACTTTTTTGTAAACCAAGCCGGTGGTATTGGTTTTCCCAATTCTCCAAACCGAAACCGAACTGGTACCACCGGTTAACCGGTCCGTTGGTTTTGGTTTTTGAGCGGTTCGGTTCTTTGGTTTTTTATTTTTTAAGTTTATAATATATATTATACAAATATATGTATAATATTATATAATAAATAATAAATGATATATAATATGTTATAAATATTTGAAAAATATATAATATATATAATATATTTGTAAATAGATCATTATAAATATAATATAAGTATATATTTATATATAATACATAGAAAATATGTGACATATATTAAAAATATATATAAAATATACATGAAAATATATATACTGGTTGGTTCGGTTAACCGTCGGTTTTTTTGTAGGTTAACCGAAAACCGAACCAGTGCTTCGATTTTTCAAAAATCGAACCGATGATCAGTTCGGTTAACCGCATTTTACGGTTCGATTCAGTTTTTCGGTTTTTCGTTTTTTTATGGACACCCCTAGATGCCACACATTCTTCTAGAATGAAAGAATGACTTCACCACACCACAGATTTCAGCCCCCACAATATGCCAAAATTTTTTAAAGAACCTTTAAATCTTTAATTGAAGAAAGTTCTTGGAAGATTTCCTTATTTGCTACCTCTCTCTTATGAGAAGATTATTTTGCTCCTCATTAACATAGTTTCCAATATCCATTAGGAAACTATCAATATCAACCGTACCCTCTATTTTGAACCTGCTAATGAATTTCTCATTGACGAAACTCGCAATATCATCTTGTTCTCTTAACCAAACACTCTCATCACTTTTTATTCCCATTATCCTATTTCTTGTTTTTTCTAATGGTAACAGACGTATGAAAGAATTTGTAATTCTAGTCTCCCAAACTTAACCAGTCCATCCGAGATCTTTGGGCCCAGTAAGCCTCCTCATGAAATAAAATATTATTTAACTGCTTGTGCAACACATTTTCAAGATTGATAAGAGTTTTCTATTTATTGGGGACTCTGTTATTTGTTTTTGCACCTCTTCAAGTTTGCTTAGTAAAAACTGTTTTTTCTTTGAAGATATACCAAAAAACGTCTCTGTTCCTTTGATTGATCTTTTGTGCTAGATTATTACTCTGCTTTACAAATTGGACAGCTCGGGAACCAGTGGCATTGATATTCCTGGCTTGAGAAACCACCCCCTCAGGAGAAGGGTACATGCACCACATGGACTCAAATCGGAAAGGCTTTAACCTCTAACGGATTGGCAATCTATATTAGTTAAATGATGTGAAGCTAAAAAGGGGAGATTAGTTAAACAAGCATCGGAGAATAGGCTTCTCCATTCGACATTGACAAAAATCCAATCGAGTCTTTCCAAAATGGCTTTATTTCTCCACGTGAATTGGTTCCCCATCATCCCATCATCTCCAGCTCCAAGACAATTAGTGACATCACCGATAAATGTTGTCGGTTAATCATAAAATCTTGTCATTTTTATCTGATAGGGGTTCAAGTTCAACTTGGGTGGGCTTAATGCTAGCCTGGACCGATTCAGTCAGCAGTTTTATATGTATGAGTTTAGATTTTTAGTCTTTGGGTTGTCTCTATGCCTAAAATTTTGGTTTTTTAATCATTTGTATCTATGCCTAAAAATTTTAGTCTTTTGGTTTTTTAATCATTTGGGTTGTATCTTAAGATGAACCTAAGCCCAATCTGAACCTAAGATCAAGATCGGGCATTATTAGTTCCAATTCTTAAATTGGGACTAGATTCACTTGAAACCTAACTCAACCTGCCCGACTTGCACCCCCCAATGGCGATCCCATTCAACCAGGCAATCGGCTTTTCACCGCCAGTTAAACCAATTACCCATTGACGCAGTAACACTGGCGGCTCCCGAACTTCATTCATATGTTTCACACCTTAGCACAGGTAAGGGAAAGAGATGGGATCTGTTCCCACAAATCCAAGACTCCTCTCTCACATGTTGGAAACATTTTTTATAATAAATAAATACGGAAGATGTTGCCAATGGATGATAGGATATGTGTGTGTGAGACGCCAGGTGTAAGGAGCAAATGCAGTCTCCACATTTTTGCATGTGCTGTAGGGCGCTCTCTTATGAGGTGCAGATATGAACTCATCTAAATGTAACGGCATTTGCTCCTCACAATTGGGCGCCTCATATGCACTTTCACCTTACATTGAAAATATCTGAATGATAATTTATAAGTACAGGAGCATGAATAATAATATCTGAATGATAATTTATAAGGTGCAAATGTGACTCCCTCATTTTTTCTAAGTATTTACAAAATATGAAAATATAGTTACAATATCATTTCCAATGGGTGGATTTGATGATGATTGATCACCATTCATCATTCAATCGCATCCGTATATCTCTCCACTCAAATTAATTGTCTAACAGTAGGTCCCATTAACATCTCCAATCCTTCCACATCTTCCTATTTGCACTTTTTTTTTTATTTTTTTGACTTTACACTTTACAGCTTCTGAGATCCGCCTCACTTACAAAGAGGCCATGGAAGCCGTAGGGCACCCGACGGGGAAGTTTCACGGCAGCCACAACCTCCAGCGTCGGAGACCTGGCGTCCATCACCAAGAACCTCGACTCCCCGGAATTCTCATCATGCACGTACGACACCACGTACCCGTCGTCCTCATCGGCCGGATCCCTGCTTTCGGGGTTACTCGCTACGAAGAACGGCTCTCCCCCAAAACATCCCGGCCCGAACATCCGGCATCCCACGGTACAATCCTGGCGCTGCTCCCCCGACACGTCCAGTTTCACCACCCCCGATATCTTGGGCATGGGATCCCCAACGCCGAGATACACGTACCGGCTTTTCTTCGCCGTGAAGTCTGGGTTAACCACCCCGAAATCTATGTTCCTCGCCGACACGGGGAACCTCGACACAATACCGGTCTTGAGGTCGATCCTCACCTTCTCCACCAAAGCGTGAACCAGTTCCATTCTCTCCAAGGTGTGCTCCACCGATAAGATGTTAGGCGCGATCAAGACTATTGCGTCCTCGTCCTCTTCGTCCCACGCGTTGATGGCGTGAATGATGTTGAAGCCAGGTACGTCGAACCATCTCATCTCGGACTCGTCCTTGGCGTACCGTGGAATCACGCCGATTCTAGATACCTTCGCGGGGTCTGAACCCACTGGAGACCCGCTTCCCACGATCATCTCCATTGGGTTCATCCCTATCTGTATGTCAGCGAAGATGGCGTACTTTTTTGTTATGGCGAAGTCGTGAAGGAACGATGGACGGGTCATGGAGAAGATGGGCACGTCCGGCTGTTTCACCCCGTTCGCATCGAAGTAGAAGTAGGTGAGAAATGGTGGCACAGGGGCGTACCGGAATGCGAAGGCCTCGCCGGTGTCGGCGTCTATCTTCGGGTGGGCCGTCATGCTCATGGAAAGTTTGCCGTCGGAGTCCCAACGTCCAATAGTCTGGATGTCTCCTTCTGGAGTCAATCGAACTTGGTAGGGAATATCTGACTCGCCCAGAGCGAAGAGTCGGTTTCCAAAGAAGGCAAGGCTCGTGTTGGAAAGACCGATGCCGTTAATGGGGTTATACTGCCCTGTAAGGATTCTTCCGGCAGAAACTGCTCCCCGGGCGACAGTTGCTGTGAGGCCATGAAAGCCTGAGAAAACGTTTGGCAGCACGGGATGGCCGAGCTGTCTCTCGACATTGTACTTGTAAGTCTTGACGTAGCGGCTGCAGAAGGTGGCACGGCCTCCGGAAAAGCGGAGAGAGTGAAGCATGCCGTCGCCATCGAAAAGGTGGTAAGGACCACGTGGAAGGTACTGTGGGTTGGGACCGTTTCGGATGTAGACGCCATTGAGGCACGGTGGAAGCTTCCCTTCTATAACGGGGCAGTCGGTGGGGGGAAGCTCGTCGACGGGAGCGAAGTTGTCAGCAAGAACGTATTTTGGGTCGACGGAGGGGCGGAGGGGAGGGTCGATGAAGTTGTTGATGATGTCGTCGAATGCATTAAAGATGGTGAATGGAATAGACAACTCAGGGGTTCTTCTAGTAGCAGAGGTAGTGCCTACCGGAGGAGTCTGAATCCTTGTAGTAGGTGAGGTGGTAGGTGAAGCAATTCTTGTGGTGGTGGTGGTGGTGGAACTGAGTGGGGTTTCTGGTTTCTGAGGCTGGCGTGGAGTAGCTGGCTTTGTCTTTGTTGTGCTCTGGGATCTCTCTTCAATTCTAACTGCGGAGATGGTGAAGAGCGGACTGTGAGGAGAGGTAACTGTTGCAGTGGTGGACTTATTAGGAGGAGGAGAGAGAAGGAGATTTGGGTGTTGGAAGAAAGAGGATGAGAAGGCATCCATCCTTTCTCTGTTTGTGTTCAGAAATTCGGATGACACAGATTTCATTTCAGATGATGAACTATTTATGGTTGCTGAATGAGAGAGAGAGACAGAGAAAGGTCTAGATAATTTGATTTTATTTAATTTTTGGATGCAAACGAGCTGAGGGTGAATGTTTGCATGAAACAGATAGCTTTTCAAGGCTAGTGAGCTAGTCCATGAGCTCTAAAACGTACCATTATGAAAATTTGAAAATTTGGGTCCTTACATCCAATGTCTCTGCATTCATGGAGCATTTTATTAGACTGGAATTGTGGGTATGAAATCATTTGCCATGAATAGAATATAGAATCACTCCACGAAGGCACGAAAGGTGGAAAATGAAAGTGGGGCCACGTGTAACTATCGTCCACAAGAAAAAATCTGAGTGAAAGTGGGGCCATGTGCACAAGTGACGCGTGGGATATCTCAGACACAGGCTCTCTGGTTCAGGAGTTAATCTGGTGGTCCACGGCTCACATGGAGAAAACATTATCCATCCCGACTCCCGAATATCAATCCGGATCTAATGAGAAGTGAAAGAAACGAAGATGGTAAGTTGGTACTAAGTTCGGATCAGCTACCAACAACGGTCCCCACATCGTTCCAAACTGCGATGGCAGCCGTAAATCGGGAACATCTATATATGAATTATAAGAGAGATGTTCTCAATGTGCATTGCAGTGAGTCATATGTTGTAATAGTGTTGGATCATTTAGTTGGTAGCAGATCCTTACCCTTTCAAACCGATTGTTTTGGTCTGTGCCAGTAGGTATTCTTGCGTAAGATACAATAAACAGGAGGAAGAATTAGGGCCACCAATAGTGCAGGCAGGGACACCTTTCTTGTGTGAAGAATCAATATAGGTATCTCATTCAGCGGGACCCATTAAAACCGTGTTTTGGTTTTGTATAAAAACACAATAAATATTTAGATATAGATATTTTTGCTTAAAATACATATAAAAACGAAAATCAATTAAACCCATAAATAGACCCAAACTAACTCATCATGTCTGGGTTAGTTTTGCTTTAGCGTCGGTTGGTTTTACTTTAGTCAATAAATAAATTGATTAAATTAAATTAATTGAAAAAAAATGATTTAAACCGATCCAATCCAACCCGTAAACATCCTTAAGACCTACAATCATTTATCCGCACCTCATATTTATTACTGACGTGGGGCATTATCATTGGTTCGATGGGTTGTTATACAGCTAAAAGATTCAGTTAATTCAGATTATAAGGAAGAGAGTCCGGCTAAATAAAATCAAATTTGTTCCTCATCCATTCGTAATCAACCGGCTCGCACATTGCAGCCGTGCATTGACAACATCTCCCCAAGCTTTCTATGAGGAACAAATCCAATCTCGGGCCTCTCGACTAAACAGTTAGAGGCTGAATCTAGAGAAATCAATCGGTCGGGTCTGTCGTATAGAATCAAACTGACTTAACCGCTTATGTAGGTTCTGGTTCTGTTGTTTGTATCTCGATTAACAGTTCGGTGGGAATATCTGGTTAATCTTAATTTTTAATTTTTATTATATTAGTGGCGCCGTTTAATGCATGGAATTGGGTTTAAAATTTATTGATCTATTGAGGTATGGAGCTACACAACCTGGGGGTAGAGATAGCAATTTTCTCTATCTTCATCAAGTATTTGGCCTTACCAATCAGGCGAAGATGAGATGGAGATTGCCTTAACGGGGACAGGGTGGGGATGGGATTAATAGGAATTCCTGATCGGGGACGGGGAGTGAAGTCCACACCCCACCCCAACCCCAATTATATATTAAATATATGTGTATATATATTATATTAAATGTATAGTATTATTTATGTTATTTATAACATTATTTATATTATATGTATCAAAATTTATTTAAAATACTATTTACATTTTAATTTTTCTGTTATTTTAAATAAATACCTTTCTAAAAACAAACTTTTAATTAAAATATTCAAGGATTCAGGTCCCCGATGGGGAAGCCCTCTTTATTGAGGACCGGGGATGTAGGCTAAAATTTTTTATAGGCATTAACTTAAAATTCGAGGTCAAGATGGGGAGTATGATCCCCACCTTGAACCCGCCCATTTCCATTCCTACCTTGGGATCATCCCTTAAACCCATAACACCTCTAATCCCATAAATATATTCCATTAATTATAATAATTATAAATGTAGTATCCAATACTTATGGAAATTATTAAAATTTTTCAATATTTATTTAAAAAATTGGAAGTTTTATAATTTAACTTTCACTAAACTAACAAAATCACTAATTATTGCTAAAAAATTATACTAAATATCAAAATTACAGAAAATATATATTTATATTTATTGGAATTAATTTTCTACTAAAATTACTGAAAATTTTTAATTATTATTTGATAATATCATTAGATATTAGTAAATTGACCAAAATTACTAAAAATGTCAATAACTACATGTTTCTAAAAATTACTGATAATTTTAATTATTAAATTCCTATTTATTAATATTTTAATTAATTACTAATTTTTTAGTAATTATTGATTTCGGTAATTAAGTTTTAAAAATTATGAAATAAATTACTAAAATCAGTAATTTTCAGCAAGTAATACTTACTAATTAAAATTTTCAGTTTACCAAAATTATGAAAAATTATAGTTTAGGTGTTGATATTTACAAAATAATATTCAACAATATCAATAACTATTGAAAAATAAAAAATATTTCACAAAATAATTTAGCTATCCAATTTAATTTAATTTAATTGATTTAACCACGTTTTTGGTTTTTAGATGGTTTATAATATAGATTAAGAGGTGTTTTAAGAGGAATTTTAGAGGGGAGAGATTGTCTTGGAGAAATTTTAGGAAGGGGTTGAGCCAATTGGTAACATGAGAGAGAGAGCGAGAGAGAGAGAGACTAGTGAAGAAGAGAGGGCTGCCACTTGGCAATATAGATTAAGAGGTGTTTTAGGAAGAACTTTAGCTGGGAAAGAAAGCATAGGAGAAATTGTAGGAGAGAGTTGGCTAAGTGATTGGGAACATGAGATAGAGATTTGGAGTGGGACTCTAGTGTAGAAGAGAGGGCTGCCACGTGGTTACATGGAAGGGCTACGAATGGATTAGGGAGAAATGAAGAGGTTTAAGGAGAGAAGAGAGATGGGGGAATGGGAGAAGGAGAGGACTGTTGTGGGACCTAATCGCTTTATAATATAGTACTAAAGGGTACTCATGCAATGCACAAGCTTTGTTAAAAGAATTTGACACAAAAGCAATTAGGGTGCAACTTTGGTGGCTCCAATACAATCTTGACCAAGATCAACCCAAGATTTTGCATTGGTTGGGCTTCATTTTTAGAACTTCAAGCTGGGCAAGGGCCGAAAAAACTCAGGCTTAACCTAAACTCATGTTTGACATGGGTTGAGACCTTGGGCGCCTAAGCCCAACCTGACCTAATCTGAGCCCTTCCAACATATTGTGATATATAGATCTATATATTATCAATCTATTCTTCGTTGAAGTTGGACTACAAAGCTCAACATGCCCAGGCTCAAGCCTAGCCTGAGATGTTGAGTTAAACTCAACTTGGCCCTAGGTTGCTAAGCTCAAGCTTAACCTTGAGTTGTGCTAAACTTGAGCTCAAGGTTTGAGAGTTAGGATTGGGCTTGGGTTAACCCTCAACCCGACCCAACCCACCTAAGTTGCACCTCGAGAAGGAGTGTTGTGATATTCCTAATTAAATTTAAAACTAATAATTTTGTTAATTTTTAAATCTTATCAACAAATTTATTGCATCATTTTATCATTTTAAATGAAATATAAATGGATATCAAATTATAAGATTTAATTTTGAAATTAAAATTGTCTAACTTTTTGTTGTTTTATTAATAAACACGTAAATTTATTTTTATGAAAATTGCAAAAAAACTTATTACATTTGTGTAGTTTTGAAATATTATTGAAAATTAGTTTTAAATTGTTGTTAAATAGTTTATTTACAAAATTACACTAATTTATCTTTTTTCCCAATATAAGCTAATTAATAATTTCCTTTTGCAAAATTATACTAATCTATCTTTAATTTATCAATAATTCCTATTCCAATATAAGTTAATCAATAACTTCTTTCTTCAATGCTGATTTATCTATAATTTATCTTTTGAGGAAATTTTCCAAAACGACACTAACTTTTTTTTACTAAAAAATGTAAAAAAAATAAATTCATATTTATTAAAATTAATTTTCACTCAATGAAAATTTACTAAAAAAAATTAACTATCTCATAGTATCATTAATATTAATAAATTTATATCATTAAATATTAAAATATTGATGTTTAAGAATATTTTGATTAATTATTTATTTTTTAGTAATTATTGATATCAATAATTGATTTTCAAAAGTTTCTGAAATTAAATTTTCAAGATCAGTAATTTTTAGTAATTAAATTTTAAAATTTACCAAAAGTACAGAAAAATGGAAAATATTTCACAAATTAATTTAACTAATTAATAAATTATCAATTTTGGATAATTTAATAATTACCAAAATTATAAATTTACCAAAAACTTTAGGGGTATTTAAATGTAATGATTATTAATATATAATAATAGTTTAAAAATAAATAATATCTTACAATAATTAGGTTAATTTTTTATTGTTAGCAATAATTTCCGGTTAATTTTTTATAATTAATCTACCAATTTTAATGAATACAAATCCAGTTATTTAGTAAATTATGTAAATAATTTATGGAAATAAATTTTCCAATGAAAAATTACTGATAATTTTGAATTATTATCTTGTAAAGTCATTAATTATTAATAAATTGATACTTATTAATATTTTAATTAATTATTAATCTTTTTAGTGATTATTTATATCGATATTTAATTTCAATATTTTATGAAATTAAATTTCCAAAATCAGTTTTCCACTTTAACAAAATTACGAAAATATCAAAAAAATCACTACTAATTTAACTATCCAATTTAATTTAACTAGCCAACTTCGACAACGCATCAACTCGGATGTTTTCGGCTTGGGGGATCTGCTGAATAACAAAGTGATCAAGTCGTTGGATGAGCACTTGCACCTTTTGTAGGTAGCTCGCCATGGTTGGGGTCCGTGTCTCGAATTGGTCGTGGATCTAATTGACTACTAGTTGGGAACCGCTGAAGGCTTCGACGTGCCGAGCACCGAGGTCTAGGGCAGGTTGGAGTCCGGCATCAGAGCTTCATACTTAGCTTCGTTGTTGGAGGCCTTGAACTCAAACTTGAGAGTGTGCTCTAGCACTGTGTTATCTGGGCCAAAGAGGATGAGAATAGCCCCACTATCTTGCTTGTTGGATGAACCGTCCACATGGAGAGTCCATATCTGCGGTGTTGGGGCTGGATCTTGAGTTGTGAAGGTGCATTCTGCCAAGAAGTCGGGCAAGGCTTCGACCTTGATGGCGGGCCAAGGTGCATATTCGATGTTGAATTCGCTCAGCTCCACACTCCACTTGATTAAGCAGCCAAATGCTTCCAACCTCTGTAGCACTTGCTTGAGAGGTTGGTCGGTAAGCACCCGAACGCTGTTTGCTTGGAAGTATGGCCTAAGCTTCCTTACCGTGGTGACCAGGGCCAGGGAAACCTTCTCTAAGTTCGTGTAGTGGGTCTCCACGCCGTTGAGAACCTTACTGGTGTAGGAGCTCGACCATTGTACCTGGTCTTCCTCCTTGACCAGTACCAAGCTGACCACCTCGTCTCCCACCGGGAGGTAGAGCAATAGCTCATCCCTAGGGCT